AAAGAAAGCCAGAAAAACGCCACGCTGTCTCTCAGTCTGGCACCTGTGAGGTGTGTTTTCGGCATTTATTTGTTTGCAGTCGTGTTTGAAGTGTCTCACCGTCTCTTTTGTCTAAGCGTCCACATCCTGAGCTGAAAGTGGAAATCTGGCTGACTGGATCTGAACGCCACGCCACGCTCTCCGCGACTTCCTACACAGGTGTACGAAACCTGCCCGTGACCCTCGTTTCTTCTGCTTGTGGAAGTTTGGGTGTCACCTCATTAAAAATTTTATCACCTGACATTCTCCTGTTTTTATAAGATACAAGCAAATGCTCTCATTAAAGCGTTTTTCACTAGTGCATATAAAGAAAGCCAGAAAAACGCCACGCTGTCTCTCAGTCTGGCACCTGTGAGGTGTGTTTTCGGCGTTTATTTGTTTGCAGTCGTGTTTGAAGTGTCTCACCGTCTCTTTTGTCTAAGCGTCCACATCCTGAGCTGAAAGTGGAAATCTGGCTGACTGGATCTGAACGCCACGCCACGCTCTCCGCGACTTCCTACACAGGTGTACGAAACCTGCCCGTGACCCTCGTTTCTTCTGCTTTCGAAAACACATAAAATGTCGGGCGTTTCAACACCGGTTGAGACAGGCTTTGGAAAAAGGTCCAAAAAAAAAAAAAGGTATTAGAAGTGCAGAGGAAAGTTTTCCGTTGTAAATTTTAAGGGGGGCCGAGGGACGGTTCAGGCCAGAGCGTTTGACGACTATGAGAGCGGCAGAGAAAGACTTCAGCTGTGCTTGGCACAGGAACCTCAGAGACAAGCGTTAAAAGATGAAAGACAGCTCAGGACTCTGTGCCTGTAAAACGGATCTGTTGCTGTCTGTAGCTTCAGCGATGGACACAATGCTGAATATTTCAGCTCTACTGCTGGAAAACAAACTGATGAACATGAAATAATGAGCAGGACTAGATGAAATCTGGGGACGTTTTTTAGCTTGTCTGCAAAATGCCTTTAAACATGATCAGATAGAAAACAGCGCAACGTCCTGACAAGCATCTCTATGTCTGCTAATTGTAATGCTGCTTTTTAAAAATCTAACTATTGGAAAATGTTAACAATTGGGGGGAACATTTTTTTATCCATCTGTGTATGTCCCAGTTCATGAGACAAAGTAAAATAAAATAAAATATTAAAATATATAAAAAATAAAATAAATTGATTGTTTTTGTTCCTGGTTTTATTTTGTATGAATAATCTGTGCATTTCACTGCAAATAAATACAAACAAAAGTACATAAATAAATAAAAATATTATTTAAAAAATACATAAATAAATAGACCTAACTTCTCAACAAGACTCCCAAACAAATGCCAGTGGTAATGCTGATTTTTCAAATCTAAAAACTGGAAAATGATTTAACTACTGGGGGGGAAACATGTTTAAAGTAGTCTAAAAATAGCCTAGAATATTCCTGGTATTATTTTGCATGATTCACCGTGCGAGTTCAAACAAGCAAAGAAACAATTGTTATTTCAAACAAATGTAAAATAAACTAATTGAAATAAATAAATGTTATTTAAAATAAATATAAAAAAATAAAAAAAAGAAGAAATACACTTTACCCCATGACATGACTCTCAACATATGCCAATGGTAATGTTACTTTTCTAAATCTAATTATTGGAAAATGAGTTAACTAAGTTAAAAGTTCCTGGTCTTATTTTGCATGAGTCATCTGTGCATGTCATTGCTGTAAACAAGCAAAAAAAAAAAAAAAAGAAGTGTAAGTGGACTTGTTAGAGAAGGATTTTACATTTTGTTTTTGACCACAAAATCAACAATGTCACCAAAGAAGTGTGTTTTGGGTTGTGAGGGAAAGATAACCTTATTAAAGAACCCAGCGTTATGGGAATTATGTTGATGTCACAGCTTTCAGACAATCGCTACACAAAAGCTTTGTGTGCTCATGACTCTTTAGCTCCACCCACGGAACGCCTTCAAGAGCTCGACTGTTTTCAGAGAGGAGCGGTACAGCAGTATCTTTCTTTTACAAATCTGATAAAACTAAAGACTCTTTGAAAATATGAAGGATGAAATACTTCTCCATAGGTACTCAAGATTAACATGAGACGTGTGTTAGTGACCAGAAAATGTTAAACATAACTAACATTTAGATGTCAATGTCTAGTTTCAAATATATTCATATCATTAGCATTCAAAAGTTAATAAAAATCATTTATTCATCTCTCTATCCATCTTTCAAACTAAAGGGGGGAAACATGTTTAAAGTAGTCTAAAAATAGCCTAGAATATTCCTGGTATTATTTTGCATGATTCACCATGCGAGTTCAAACAAGCAAAGAAACAATTGTTATTTCAAACAAATGTAAAATAAACAAATTGAAATAAATAAATGTTATTTAAAATAAATATAAAAAAATAAAAAAAAGAAGAAATACACTTTACCCCATGACATGACTCTCAACATATGCCAATGGTAATGTTACTTTTCTAAATCTAATTATTGGAAAATGAGTTAACTAAGTTAAAAGTTCCTGGTCTTATTTTGCATGAGTCATCTGTGCATGTCATTGCTGTAAGCAAGCAAAAAAAAAAAAAAAAAAAAAAAAAATTTATTTTAAAAAAAAAAAAAATTTTAAATCATTAAAAATTTTAACTTTTGACTGGTAGTGTAGGCTGATTATTCTTATAGATT